CAAACTGCCAGGTCCAGGACTCAGACTTCGGTCTGCCATCTGAGAGTGCAGCACCCTACCCACCACGCCTCCCGCCGGCCCGCAGACATTTCTCTTGCCTGTTCCGACTAGATCCAGTAGCCGCTCACTACCCTGTGCCACCATGGACAGTGCCCTCCCTCTCCTGAGCCATTTCCCTGGATCTGTGTGACCATCGGTTTCCTGCCAGAGACACCCTAAGGCAGGGGTCTGATTTGTCCTCCAACACACTCGCAAGGCCTGGGCGGAGCTGGCGCTCAACCCATATTTACAAAATGATGCAGTCTTGTGCAGAAGAGCGGGCTGCGCCCCTGGAAACAGCTGCCGGGCCCCTGGAAACAGACCCCGGCCCTGCCACCTGTTGGGTGTCTCTGGGTGTGGGGGCGGAATAATGGCTATAACTCCCACAAACGGATTTAGCTACAATTAGATACACTGCCACAACCATTCAAAGGGCCCCCAGAAAGAAACCAGGGCTGTCTGCCACATTGCTGCCTGCAGGGCCAGCTCGGCCCTGCCCGGGAAGGGTGTCTGCCGTCGCTGGTGCCTACTGAGCCCTGGGGCAGCCACACACAGCAGCCAGGTCACACACGCCATCCCCAGCTCCTGCCTCTAGCTTTGCCCACCAGCTCAGGGTCTCCCAGGGTCTCTGTGGACTACACCTCCCAGTTAAATCAATGCACAAGATCATCTCTGCTAGCCACTGCTCAGGGACCCCTTTGGGCCTGAATGTCCTGGGGCAAAAGACCCACCGAGGTGTGTGCTTAATATGCAGACATGAGCCTGGGCCGTCAGAGACTTTGCCTCAGTAGGTCTGCAGACAGGCCATGAAATAGCCTTTTTTAGAAGTTATTATTGGGGTTGGTATAATGGCTATGTTGCTGGACTCTCATGTAGTTGACCGCAGTTCTAGTCCTGAACCTGGTGGCTTAAACTCACGCCAGGCACGCGTGCATGCATGCCCAAGATCCCAAGAGGAGAGTGGAGAAGGGATTGTGGCGTGGCCATCCCCCCTGG